AAGACGTCCATAAGGCTATCTGGATCTAACAGAGCAGTCCAAAATCTCCTCTTCTACCCTCTATAGCAGGCTTATCCCAAGATGGTCCTCGAGGGCTGAACTGCAATTATCAGAATCAGCTGTACTGAAGCTGAGTCCAATTTAAAACTTGTAAGGAAACGGCCATTGAGGACCGACTTTGGACATGCCTACTCTATTGTGTGCTCAGTGTAGACACATCTAAAGGTGAAGGATAAGAAGTAGAAACAGGAGGTAGTCGCTACAATTTGAGGTATTTGATTAATTTGAGCTCGGGGCATTCCTGACTTCATTTCAGGCAGACTAGATTGCCTGCAACACACCACACAAAGCAGAATTATCTTCTAAGGGAATCTTAGGAACCATCCTGATAACTAAGACATACTCAGAGAAATAATTTGGGGCAAAACTTGGTACAATTTTCTTGCTGCAGTAACATGGCATGAGGTCTGTGTGATCATATTGGGTTTTTTTTTCCGTTTTCAATTTAGAACATTTAAATTTTACTTTGCAACATATTTAATCATCACAGCATGCTTTTGAGACATGGATCAACTTGGTTAGGTTAATTTTTCCCACATTTGATTTGTCCATATGGTCTTTGATTTCTATAAAGTGCCTTAAGATGACTTGTGCTGTGAATTGGCACTATATAAATAAACAGAATTGAATTGAATACACACATTTCTTGATGTGGACTCTACTTTTGAATGATTTTAATGCCAAAAAAAATGGCTAGACATGATAGGTCTTAAAAAATCTATTTTCCAGAACTATGCTCGCTGCGGCTGGTCTGCTTGTCTTACTTTTTAACCACACAGCTTCCCTAAGGATTTGTTAAAGTTTTATTAAATGGCTGCACTCATCACGAGATCTTAATAATAAAAGCAAGTGGAATGCTCCAGTCGTCTCAACATGTGAAATTTTGTATTGGTTTTTTCTCATTGATGTATCTATTTGAGGCTGGGAAATATGGCATTTTTTGTTGTGCTCATTTTTTTATGTTATTTTTTTGCCGCTGTGACAGAAACCAAAGTGAGGAAACCACATGCTGTTTCTGCCAGCCTGTCTTCAAGACACAGAAGATGTGCATTGTTAAGTTTGGCTAACTGTGTTTCATTAAGACCCCCCCCTCACACTTAGTAACAGCACAAAACGCCAAAATCTCCACAGGGACAATTGTTAAGTTACTTTTCCTTGTTTTTTTTTCTAATCTTCAAACAGGAGGCTTTTAGTGTTGCAGAAAGTTTTAACTTTCAGCGATTCAGTGATAGCTTTATAAAGTCACTAGTGCTGTTCTTAGTCTATCTGTGTAACACAGCCTTAATTAGATAGAAACTATAATAAAGTTGGGCGAGAAAAATGACAAATCCAGTTCAAAATGAGACTGGATAGGATTCTAGTTGCTTAATTGTTTTATAGTTGCACTAAGGATTTTGCAATATTTTAAAAGTTTAAACAGCTATTGACCTGTTTTTGTCTTTTCTCTTTCTTTTCATGTGTTTCCTTTGGATCCTGAAGCTGAAGAGTATGCTGTCGAAGGTAAGACTAATGCTCGTCTCCTCAGGCAGTCTGACGGAGTTCCCCACTGCTCTCACGGCTGCCTTTGCTGGTTGCTTTTTAATAATGTTTGTCGTCCCTCTGCAGGGGGGCATTGTCAGTTTGGACTGCGGTTTGAAGTGACGTCCAGGGGGCCTAAATCTACATTACAGAATTAGATAAAAGGGGTACATTAACAATAAAAATTGCCCCTATTTATCTAGCTTTTTTTTTTATTATCTGGTTCTTTATTTTTTGCCTTTTTTGATCATTATTTTGTTTACGTAGACGTAGAACTCCAATTTTTAAATTGGACATATGTATTTTGTTTTTGTGCAGAAGTGACCAGGGCTGCTTGGCAACCCCAGTCAGCAAACCGGCCTGTAGTGTTTTTATCATGAAATAACAAGAAAACTTGTGATTTAGAGATCAACTCCTTTTACTTTTCTTCCTTTATTCTATAACCCTCAGAGGTGAACAAATGCTTTTAGTTGGGGCCCCTTAGGGATGTCATAAGCCCTTAGGCCAGGCGCTAAGCCTGAGCTGGATAGAAGAGAATTAATGGATGGATCACTTTTCCCTTGTATGTCTGCAGACACTTGCCTGTTTCACCTCTGTAGCTTGAGAGCCTTAACAATTTAAGTGAATGTGGGTGTGAGTTATTTAGGGTCTGAAATGGCGTCTAGCTGTACTCTGAAGTTTCAAGTTTCTCTGCTGGTCTATGAAGTTTAAGGATCAATTGTGTCGGTGAATCATTATTTATTCATCTGGTCAGGAAATCTATGAATATCTAAATCTGAGGGTTTAATCCGTGTCAGAAGTGTCGGATGTTTTTAGTGATTGGGACTGAGATCCTGATTGTGCATTCCGTTCTTGAAACCTGAAATTGAGAATTTGAGTTTCCACTTTTGGACCCTTTTCTCCATTTTTTGTATAATAGTACAGCCATTGTTATAAAGTTAACAATGACTAAAACATTGTTCTGAATGGTGTTCTGCCAAAATACTCAACTTTGAAACATATTGTCTTATTAAAACTTCTGTTAGATAAATATAAAAAATGCTATCAACTGTAGAGGAAGAGAAGTTTAACTATTGCTGCTCTGGATAGCTTAAATTGTGAACTGTAATTGCGGTTTCATCTGCAATGAACTACAGGGGGGAATATGTAGAAGCAGTTTTATTGTCTTATATCAGATCAGAATCAGAAATCAGAATCAGAATATATCCTACAACATGGCCCTATACTTACTTAGCAACAAAACAGTACATGTTGAAGTTCAAGTATGAGCAATAATAAAGTCCCTAATGCCTTATTCGTACGCAATTAGATGATGTATGAGGAGGTTTGGCAAAACAGAGAACATCTGTATAAACATTCTTTGAGGGTCGGAGTGACTTTGACGCAGACCAGCCCACGTGATTTCCAGTAAGCTTTCGACATGATATTCCTGCGCATGTGCAGTTACGTAATGCGATGTGGAAACTATAAATGCAGCCTGAATCGACTGAAGTTTGGGGGATAACAGAATTTTTGACGATGCGTTGCTGGATGTATGAAGTGTTTAAGACAGCTGTATGGATTCGGTTTTGTAATTAAATGTGTCCCCCCTCCGGATGATAAAATGGTGTGAATCGTGGCCTTCTTTCTGTCATAAGGGAATTCTACCAATGAGCTTCCATACGGTCAGTGCTATTACTTTTTAAATTTTTTTGACTTTGAAGTCTGACTTTTGATTGTTGAAATTTGCCATTCAGATGTTTGATATTTTAACAATTGGAGACCAATGGAAGCATAACAATGGCATACAATCCTGAATGTTCTATATTGTGATGCTGCATGTTCTCTTTGTTTGCAGATGCAAGATGCATTACAAATCTTAAATTTTAAAAACACAAGATTTTCTTAAAATGTACAGGTCACATACTATAATATTTAACTCATTATGAAACAGTAATTAGGTTGGTTTGCATTGGGGCCTGTGCAATTTTATTTATTTATTTTTTACCAGGACTTTGATTAAAGATAAAAAGCTCATCAATAGATTCTGATTAAAGACTTATAAAACCTTAGAACCAGTTGTCAAAGAAAAAAGCTTTATGATGACTTATTTCTTTGTTTTAGTTTATTCTTATCCACTTTCACAAAACTCAAAGCATTTTCTGTAAAAGTAGAAGCGTTGATGACAGTTCCAATTATGTTGTTGAACACAAACACCTCAGAGGAGCGTTTTTAGATCTTGTCTTTCTAAGATGAGACTCGGGGGTATTTCTGCAACCATCTTTGCTCTATTTTTAGGGTTTAGTTCACACTGCATTTGGTTTAATTGGGTTTAGTGGCTGCACGTTCAAAGACTGGTGGAGACTGATTGCAGAGAGATGGTAAAAGCTCACAAATGGCAGATGACCCAGGAAAGTGGATGACAGCCTCCACTCTTTCACTTGTATAATCATACTTCATGCTGTGGTTGTTTTATGGAGCTGATTTTAGGACCCTCTGTTAAAGATACTCTATAAACGGGACAGCATTGGATATATCAACAGTTATTTTGTAAGCGCTGTTTTGTCATTGTGTGGTGTTTTGTTTTACTGTGTTACATTATTAAATTAGAAAATACAACTAATTGCATAGATCATTTTAATTTGTAGTTTATTTGGCTTATGACACTTAGACAGGCATATTATATATTGAATTGAGAATATTTGATAAGGAATAGCTATGCTTAAATTATTGTAAAAACAGTGGTAAACTGTTTTTGTTTTAGATTCACATACTGTACAATAGGGACCATTTATCAATGGTCAGCTCAACATGATCAGTAACATCTTTGTTAGGATGTAAAGTAGGGAAATGAGATGAATGTAGTTTAGATAGGTGCTAAAAAGGGTTGTGCAGCCAACCAACTTTATTGATTAATCAATTTATTTATTTGTGAGGATTACATTTTTTTTTACTAATCCAGTACTTGGACTACCATACCTCAGGATGATATTTCTTCATCTTTTGTCCGTAAATGTATTCTCATAACTGAGAAACTTAGTCTTTGTGTGATACCACTTGCTGCAAACCTTTATTGTTATATATTCATTGTTGTGAAACATAATAGTCTTTAGTGCTTGAATTTTGTTGCCCTTTAAATTAATATCACATTCCTGAAATTATGGAACAAAGTTATTTTTTTGGGGAAAAAAAATGTTATTTCTATTGTTTATAATGATTAATAATCTTTATAAGAAATAAAACATAATAATAATAAGAAGAATCACATTTGGTAGGAACAAATTGGTGAGATTGGTGATTTTCCACTGCATTGGTGCAATGTTCATGACTATAACAACGCGGGGAAAAAAATATTTTGGGCATAGGGACAAGAAGATGGACCAGCTGTATGTGTTTGATTGAACAATGTCCTGAACCGCCCATGCTGATCTTAATCAATCTGGTCAAGGCTAATGATCTTTCCTCTCTGAGCCATGCAGACCCCCAGCTTAATCCTCCTCTCTGTGGAAGAGAATAACTTTTTTTTCTGCAGAAGAACAGACAGAGATTGATGGTGCAGAGATACAGGATTATAGGTTTAAGTGGAGCCTGTAGTTTCGAGAGATTACTTTGGATCATCCAAACCAGATTATAATTTTTTTCCTATTTGCCAAGGCTATCTGGAACAACAGGGAAAATGTTTATTTGCTAAAGAACATGTTTGTGTGGGTGTGTGTGTGTGTGTAAGGATATTAAATGTTATTATTCACTGTAATAATGTTAGTCTGTTAGTAACCTAGTTTTTTAGGTAAAATGCAACTGTCAGCCTGAAGTTTGTTGCACACAGCTTCACTTGCAATGTTGGTATTTATTTTATCACAGTTAGGAAAAGGAAACCAATCTTTACCCCATGAACTACGAAATATCGTTATTATTGCTTGTGCAGATTCTCAGTCCTTTGGGTCAAAGCAGCCACAACACACTTCAGTTGAAGGCAATCCGACCTTAGAGTTTAAATTCATTTGGAAAAAAAAAATTACATAAGTAATCTCATCAGGATTCAGAAGACCAAATAAAGACCCCTCAACAAACAATCCACTCTAATGACCCAAGGGAGGGACAGGCAGGTTGTTCATTTGCATCCTACTTGGGATTATTCCAGGAGGATGGACATCCATATGTTTAGTGGCAGATTTAGAGGAAATTTGCCCAGAAACACAGGGTGGAGCCCAAGATTTTTCTTTTTTTTTGTATTTAAAATAAATAAGATGATTTTCTAAAGGAATGAGTATTATTGCCCAAATAAAAGGAAAATAGGTTTAATTCAAGAAAAAAATTATTTACATTACTTAGATTTTCCAGTGTATGTTTTCAACGCAGGGGCCAGGACAAGTTCTAGGGAAACTGGCTTCTTTTGGCCCCTGTCTAGAACTCCCCATGCATTTGTTTGAAAACAGCAACCCCCCCAAACTTCAGCATACTAAACCATGAGCCTATAGAATTAACAAGTTAATCTTGGATAGTTGATATTTGTCTACTGGTTTGCAAAAAATCTGTAAAAGCTCAATTTTGTCTGTTGTACTCTTTATTATTGCTGTATAAAAATATTACTACTTTTAACATTATTTATTTCACCCTCTGTACAAGACTTTCATTCATCCCTGCTGCCACCAGACTCTACAATGCCACATTACAACGTCAATAATGTGCAATTATTATTTAATACCCTGTGCAATAATCTGTTTCTTTATATTTGACACCTACTGCAATAGCTATATATATATTAGGGAT